TCGTCTCACGGAATCCTTCACATGGGAAGACCAGCCGACCAGAGACCCTCACACCGGACACCGTACACTAGCGGGCTGGATACCGCACCTTCAGATAGTTACGAAATATGCCTACGCATTCACAGCTTTCTACCACCTAGTACAATCAGGAGTACGGATGTACATATCCCATGAATTGATGTACCCCGCGTGGTACCCTTTTGACACTGTCAGCAGTCCGGGATACGAACTCGTAATCGTCATGCAGGTAATTCCGTATATTACTGTGTGTCCTTTTATTCTTTCAGCTTCCAGTGAAAACCTCGGAAATGAAGAAAAACAATAGGTAGTTTAATTAAGAATGAAATTGTCATTGGTCACGATAAAGTAAGTTACGCTATAAACTGAAATTAAAGTTAATTCCACTGGCTCCAACGAAATTCTGGAAAATCAATAGATATTTATATTCCGTAAACGTTTATACTCTTTCAGTATTAGTCGACATAGTCGTACACGTTGGGCCAAATTTAATTACTCCTGAAGCGGTAAATAGGCTACATTTTCAAATCGAGATATATTCTTGAAGAAAGCAATCCCTTTTATTTTTTATATTTCATTTACTTCAAGATTGTTCATTTCAAGCTTTAATTATCATCAATAACCATTTTCGAACCTTACGGAACATTTGGATCTGGAATAATTTAGTTACACATTGATTGGCTTTCTGATTTCCTTATCTAACAATTCTTCATCACCAATATAAAAAAAAATTCGACTCAACAGTGTCCCATATCTGAGTGATTTTATATTACATAAATATTACATGGGAAAATATACGTATATGTTAGAATCAGCAAAATATCGCCTTCCCTATCCTCAACTGAACTGTATGCATGTCCATACGACTGTGAAGCGGGGAGGCTCATACATATTCAAGAAAATCTGCTCACAGATAGCGATCACCTTGTTAGGCTCACACGCCGGAAGCCCTTTAATCCAGAGAAAATTCCTGGTACTCATTTCTGTTAAAGAGGCTCAGGTGCCCGCTGATTCATACTGTGTCTGGAAGGATTGGGTCAATTAAAAATCGGAAAATCGAATGCACGACCTTTTGGATTGTAATGCATAGCCTAAACCAACAACCGTAACGCCCCCCTCCCCACCTACAAACACAGGTTATAGGTAAAAAAATTATTTCTTTTGTATTAGTGTATGTGTTCAATGTCTATGATAATTACATCTTCTGCTGTGCAATAACGTATTAATTACGTCACAAATAAACACGCTTATTTATGTTATCCTACTAATATTTGGAATATTCTTACTGTATGAAGTGAAACATAATGAAAATCAAATTACATCTAACTAAATCCATTAAGCTCAGTCCTTTTGAGAAACCGCAGTTTGTAGAGCTATTTAAATTTTTCGAAATATTTTATGGTATCCGATTATTCTTTATCATAACACTCCATCGTATTTCTCTAAGATCCATTTTAATATTATTCAACCACCTACCCCTTGGGCTTCCTATGAGAACTCACCTCCTAAATTCCCTCTAATATCCTACACCAGTATGCCTTTATCTCAATCCATTCGTGCTACAATTCATGGCCATCTTACCGTCCTCGACTTTAACAATTCAGGTACATTTGGCGAAGAGTAAAATTTATGACGTCATAATTGCGTACTTTCTTCCAATCTTCTGATACTTCATCCCTTTCTGGTCATGTTTCAATTCAGCATTCTCCTCGCAAAGACATTCACTCAATGTTTCTCCGTTAATGTCAGAGACCAAGTTACACAACCATACAAAAATACAGATAAAATTATAATTTTAAATACAGTAATTTTTACGTTTTCAGCCCGCACATTACAACAAGGCATCTGAAAAACACAATACGTTGACAGCCAACATAGCTGTCGGCTGATTATAACCACTATATGAATCACAGTGTTCTCTGATTACAGCAAAACAAATAGTTATGAAAACGCTTTTCTGATAGAATGTTGTGCCGTTCAGGTGGGCAGAATGTCATAGAAGTTGCGGAGAATACTTTTGCATATAATTCCGGGGTATGCTTTTTGCATTAATAACGTAAGGAGCACACTCACACCTCAAAGTCCATAAAAACACATGTCTGCCTCAAAGTCATAAACACTTCCGTTTATGTGATACAGAGTGATTCATATAGAACCGGCCCGACGAAATGAGCTGTAATATAAAATATACCGTACAGATATTGAAGTAATTTACACATATCTTATCTTGGATTGTGTGCCGTGATCAGAGCAGTTGTTGAAAGTGTCCGCCGTTTTCAAGTAGGCATGCATTCACCCACGTTTGCATATTCGCTGTGACTCGCTGAAGTGTTTCTTCAGTGATGTTCCTGATTTCAGCCGAAATGTTGTTCTTTACATCCTGTAACGTGTGCGGTTTAATTGCATACACCCCCTCCTTTAGTAAACATCTCAGAAAAAAATCCGGGCTGGTAAGGTCGGGGAATTTTGAGGGCCACATCTTTTTAGAGATGACGCGATCGGGGAAGAAGCTATTAATCAGTTCCATGGACATGTTGGAAATGTGGCATGTCGCTGAATCCTGCAGAAAATAATCTTGTGTAAGTTCCACATCATCCAGCTGCTGCACGAAATCGTAAGAAATACGGCAGTATAAAGTGCTGTCCACGGTCGTGTAGAAGAAGATCGGTCCAATGATTCGTAAACCAGAAATGGCGCACTGCACACCATACACCCACTTTTTGTGGGTGTAGTGGTGATTCAGCCATCTCATGTGGGTTTTCAGACGCCCAGATCCTGGAATTTTGTGCGTTTACATATCCTGATAGGTGGAATCATGCTTCATCACTAAACCAAGTGATATCCAAAATTCTGGGGTTTTGGTGCACGAATTCCCAAAATCATAAACAGTACTGTACCAATTTATCTTTATCAACATCACCCATTTCCTGAACACTGGTGATCTTGTAGGGACGAAGATTCGCTTTCTTTGCTACCCGTTGACACGTTCAATAAGAATACCCGGTTTCCTGGCTTAGACGTGGTAATGATTTCTTGGGAGACTGCAGTAATCTGTCCCGCACAATTGCAATCGTTTCTTCTGGCATTTCGGGGCGGTTTTTACCAAGTTCACTTAAAAGTGTCCTTATCCTTTCCAATTTCTGAGCCAAGGACTGTATAGTCGATTTCGCGGGCTTCTTACGAACTCCAAATTACTTCCTGAATTCCAACTGTTAGTTCGTAATCGAGCCTGTCACCCAATACGTGCGAACGAGAAACACTCGCTGTTCAACAGTGTAATCCATGATTGTCGCCTGTGCACTGCAGACACGTTTCCGAATTATCCTTGACCTTGCGGCATAAGGGCTGCCACTTGCCCGACCATGCGCACACCATTCGACTCAGGAGAGCCTACGGATTATTATGTCGTAATTGTGACCATCACCTGCGGAATTATTAGCAAATCCATCGGGTCGGTTCTATACGATTCACCCTGTATATTTCAGATATTATATAATTCATTTTAACTACACTCTGTCTCTCAAATTCCGCAGAACTATATAAAAAAGAAATAATCTAAGAAGGTATTATAAATAACTAAGTTAAATTTTCCCTTGTAGATATTTGAATCAAATTTCTACACGTGCATTTTAATCGGCTTCCCACTCTTATATGCTACGCTGGTTATGGTGGCGTGCACTCAGCTGCAGAAACTCAGAACGGACCTCTTGGACATAAAACAAGAAATGGTTCCATCAGGAGCTGACTCAGGCAGTGACGGGGGAGAAGAGCCGGTTTCCCGCTCCAAGGACGGGTTCTGCCGCATGCAGATGCAACTGAACGAGTGCGTTCGGCACCATCAAGCCATACTGCAGTACGTCATTACTTTCACAGTACACGTGAGTTCATTACAGGAAGTGGTAAAGGTAAGGCTGTCCCTCTGCTCAATCAGTTATCCACCATGCCATGAAGACGTAGGCGGAAATTGTGAGATACTGTTGCTCCGCCTCGTCGCGACATCGCTGCCAACCAAGTTTACTCTGCCCAGATGGGGATCAATGACTGTACTCACCTGACATCGGGCATCTATGGATAGCTCCTACTTCGCCCAGTGACATATTTATTACGAATACCCCCCAAAAAACCCGCAACATTTGAAAAAAAAAAACAAATATAATCAAATGAACAAGTACATACATACAATACTTTCTAATATATTTAATCTGTCATTACGCATCTCTATATTAACTTCGCAAAATGGACTAACCATAATATACTAAGCATACATAACACAAACCCAAATTTTATATCCTACAATCAGTAAAACAAACTTATCATATGACAATTAACCAAAGTCATACTCTAACCATCAGTGAAAACGAAATTACATATTAATAATCATCATTGATCCGACCACGGGCAATTACTCATGCTTATAAAAGAAGGTGTCAGTGAAGATATCTGCCCCCATCGAATCTCCTTCCTACCACACGATTTCTGGAGTCGACTGGGAGAATCACAGTGCTCGCGAATTCCCTTGTCAGAGCCACAACAATTATTCAACATTCTCGCAACTCATGAAAATTCTGTTCATTCAAAATACTAAATCGGCAGATTCTAACTGGTCGATACACTGTCGTGCGAAAACGAGACTTACTTCTGTGTCGTCCAACCAATTTGTCAATATTTTCTGTCAACTGCACAACTGAAGTGTAGTGACTGAGGAATGTGTTGCGTCTAAAGGAGATTTCAACGCTCGTTTCCGGCTCCCCAAACTGTGATTCACCTGAAGTATCCCGACTTAAAAAACATAAATTAAGTCTAATAAATTGCGCATAGTATCGCCCCCTGTAAAAAAAATCAAACCTCTTAATACCAGAGCACAACAAGAGCTATGCTTTCTTGACCTCGGCGAAGCCGGTCGCTATACCGCACGGACTATCGCCACTCCACATTCCTGACAGATTGTGATAAACTTGTGAATTATCCTTTTACAATTTCAGGTACATGCGAGCTCTGGAAGACACAATGAACTTCCTGCTTTGTGGTCTGCTCCTGTTACTGCTTGCCACACTCTGCTTTGTTTCCTTCTCCGCTGTCGCGGTAAGGTATCTATCTCTTTCTGATTATGCAGTGATGTTTTAGGTAAACTTTCGTCTTGTGGGAGAACTTACTCTTTATACATATGAATACACAATCAGACAGCGATTTAATACTCTTTTACCATAGCAAATACTCTTATAACAGGGCGTGTTTGTCAATAGGTTGGTCAGACGTCGAAGCTCCCAAACTTTTTAACCAATCGGCTTACAGATGGCAGTGAGGTTGTCAGCCTTATGTCCTTTATCCCAAGGGTGACACATGTTTCTCATTTCTTTTAGATACTGAGTCGACATCAGGAAAATAGTGAAGTTGGAAATATATGGTGAACTGATAAAACTGGCAGAGGGAATCGAATCCACTACCTTCCGGCTTGCAGCACAGTACCTCAGCCATCCACACTATCGCGTGCGGCGGGGATTTATAGAGGAGATTTTTTAAAACTGATCATTTCCTATACAATTAAAATTCTTTGGATTAACTTGTTGGTTAATCTCATAGTCAAAAGTGGAATCCCTTCCATCCAACCGAATTAACAGACCGAAAAAAAAATCGATCATATAAATTCCGATCCCTTGGACGGAAAAAATTGCCAGATATCAATGAACGGGCATCATTTCATAAAACAAATTTTGTTAATTAAAAAACTGAAGACAGAACATTTAATGTAAGCGGACAGTAATTTATATCTGAACATTGTACGTCTATCCTACTTTTTTCTGAATTGCCTTTCTAGTCATGTCGATACCCAGTCCCCAAATACATTGCAATAACTGCAAAACCTATTCAGGGAAAGTTGAGCTTCATGCCTTTTAACGTGTAATGGGCCTATGCTGCAAATGCTAATGTGGTTATTCAGGCAAAACTTAAGCAACTTCATGAAAAAACTATTACAATTCTAAATATCCAGGGTAATATTTCTGCTGTGACAATACTGACATATAAAAGAAAAATTTTACATTAAGTTCCACAAATAATGGAAATAAAACCTAATTTCTCCCATAACGTACACAGTCCGCGCTATATTAACAAGAATGTTTCTTTAACAACTTTTCCCAAAGAAAATAAATAAGTGTAATTGCGGGAGAAACAATGCTGTTAACAGAAATACAGTAAAAATTAAGGAAATAAGATAATACATTTTCCTGTAAATTAAACACAACTATGTAAAATTAATCAGTTAGGGACATACGTGTAAACCGAATGGTGCCTCAAAACATTTTGAAAATTGCAAATAGACGAACAAGTAAGGAGAGAGTTTATTAATTTCATCCACCAAATATATTAAGTAATTCTGTTACTGTAAGCATTTCATACTACATTGATATTCTTACACAAATAGCTAATAGTGGGCTCATTGTACAGAGAAGCAAACATTCATATTTCGGGCATAATTGCACAGGGATTTTAAGAATAGAAGCAGAACTCTCAAAATTACATAGCGGGATGTAAATTGCTTGTTTCTAACATCAAGTTCATCGCGGTATTCACTGGAGAAGAGGAAAAATTAGGAAAATATGAACACTTCTCTGTAACTTAACAACAACGAATAAAACCACAAATTGTTTAGTTTGCTCTCGTCTCATAATGTAGGTCTCTCATTCAGGCCACTCTTGCCTTGTCACATACATGTATATTCCAGGTAAATGCATTTAGCTCATATTTTTCATAACCTCTAAAATAAATACCCAAACTAATTTATAACTCGAGAAAATAAATGAAGGAATGAATATTTGAACTATATTGTGTATGTAGGCCTACACGTTTCTAAGCAAATGTTCCTTTTTATCTAGAGCTGGGGAGACATAACCGACTTAACGCAAATTCTCATCATATATGTAGTGACGATATTTTACGTCTGTCTGTTCTGCGCACTTGGGACGGAACTCACGCTACAGGTGTGTGGAAACTGTAATTGTATTTGTACACGCTGACTGGTATGTTCCACATTCGTTCTGAAACTCCTGTTACATGCGTAAGGGTTACTGTTCCAGGCAGAAAGGGTGAGAGACGCTGCCTGGGGTTGCGACTGGGTGGGAACCCCTGTCCCATTTCAGCGCTGTCTGGCCTTCATCATCGCCACAGCCAACAAGGAGTTCACACTCACAGCCGGGAAATTTGTTCCCGTGTCCAACTCCACCATGATGAGTGTAAGTGCATGCGAGTGCATAAGAAATTGAATTATTTAAATTTCTTTAGGTTCATTACATGCACCTCCAAAGTCCACAATTCTTAAACATCTAAAGGTTTCTAGAAGACTGAATGCGAACAAGTGACTATGGAACATTAGCTGAGTTGTCATTCAGTAAGATGCCAGTATTTCGGAAACTGTCCTCATTTTCAGGCACACCGTTTTGATATTAGCTCCATATCAAAGGGACGAAGTTTTATGCCTCCTAAAACAACAATGATCATTTTCAATTATTCATTTTTCGATATAATATATCGTCCTATTTCTAATACGTTTCTCTTCGACTGAGTTGACTTTCTTTCTGCAAGACGGCGTAAAGAGGGTCAAGTCTGAGAAACGATATTTTAAATAAATCAAGGGAGATCGGCAACATCCAAAAATGTACATCATTTTATTAATATACTAACGTCACGAATTTCTGAGATCTTAAGAAGCACTTAGTAAATTCCTGTCTGGGTATAACAGTAGAATAAAATGCAAAGAGTAAAAATAAGTTAAAATGAAAACACACAAATTTCCATGAGACTTTTCCACGAACTGTTCATATACGAGAAAATATCTCCTCTTCTTAAAAGAGACTGACACAGCTTATAAAAATGTTCAGTGCCCATGTGCCTATATAAACTGGTTTAATTACCTGTCTCAATAGAAGGAACTCTCTCCGAACGCATCCCACGTTTCCAACAACTTCATTCACATACTTTCTTCTCAAATTCCAAATCGCTACAACCTACACATACCAAGTACAATAATAAAGAGTAAGGAATATATTCATTTAGCACTCGAGGTATGTGAATATTCAACTTATATACGATTAAAGTGAAGAGAACATTCAACTCTCCATATGTAGAAGGACGAATCCTCTAGACCAGAGATTGCCAACTGGCGGCTCGCGACTTGATTTACTCCAGCCCCCCGCCAAGTGTCAGGTTTATTTTCAAAAATCTTAACTTCACAGCTGTATTGGCATAGAATTCAGTTTTTAATAGGACGTTTCATTAGCTTACAGCATTTTGCAATTGACTGTATACTTTCTTAGCGAGTTGGACAGTTCAAACTGTTTTCTAATAACTGTGTTCATGTCATGGAAATTCCAAGTTCCCCAACCCTGCTTCTGTAGCGAGATGACACTGAAGGGAAGACCGTAGTGGTGAAGGATTTATGACACCTTCAAAATAATAACCATTCCCAGCTTGCTCGCAGGGATGGGATGTTTACAGTTTCTCTCGGCATCCTGGCCTTTGTTAAGTGTCAGTTTTAGCAGAAATGTCTCCCAGTTAGTACGATTTTAGATCGTGAAGTGTGATTACGGAG